CTTTTTTTTTTTTTTTTTGAAACAGAGTCTGACTATGTCTACCTCAGTAGAGTGCCATGGTGTCACAGCTCACAGCAACCTCAAACTCTTGGGCTTAAGAATTCTCTTGCCTCAGCCTCCCAAGTAGCTGGGACTATAGGTACCCGCCACAATGCTTGGCTATTTTTTTGTTGTTGTTGCAGTTGTCATTGTTGTTTAGCTGACCCAAGCTGGGTTAGAACCCACCAGCCTTCGTGTATGTGGCTGGCACCATAATGACTGTGCTACAGGCGCCAAGCCATCATTGACCTATTTTAAGATCATTTTTGTTTATGGAGTGAGGTAGAGATCCAACTTCAGAAGTCTTTTGCTTGTGTCTATCCAGTTGTCTCAGCACCATTTATTATCTTTTTTACCTATTAAATTTTCTTGGCACTCATGTTGAAAATCAATTAGCCATAGATCTTTGGATTCATTTCTAAACTCTCAATTCTTTTTCACTGGTCTATTTGTCTATCCTTATTCATCAAGTTTGATGCTATTTCAACTACTATAACTTTACAGTAAGTTTAACATTTGAAATTGGAGAATATGAGTCCTCCAAGATTTTTTTCTTTCATAAGATAGTTTAGGCTATTCTGGGACTCTTAAAATTCCATATGAATTTGAGGATTCACTTTTTCATTCTGAAAATAAAAGCCACTATCATTTTAATAGGGATTATGTTAAATCTGTAGGTTGCTCTGGGGAATATTGCAATCTTAACAACATTGAGACTTTTAATTAATGAACATAGGATGTCATCACATGACTTTAGGTCTTTTCAAATTTCTTTCAATAGATGTTTTATAGTTAAATATATTCCTAAATAAGTTTAATAATAGTATATAGTTTATTCTTCAGTTAGTATTGTGAATGAAAATGTTTTTATTATTTCCTTTTCACATTGCTTTTTGCTAGTTGTATCACTCATGCCTTTTCCTCCCTGTGTTTCTGATACTTTGAAATCTGGGGCTTTGTTGACCTTGGAGAGCCTAGTCCTCCCAAGGATAGTCAATTCTTAGAAATAGCAAATGACTTGCCTGAAGCATACATTTTATATGCAAGGTAACCAATCTAAGGCCCAAACCCCCATCATCTCCCCTGTTGGGCTCTCACACTTGGGGCTATTATTCCATTGCCCTAATCACCCCAGGTTAAAATACTAGACAACTATGAACAATGCCTATTCCCCAGAGTTCACTGAAAAATTTTTTTGTTTTGTTTTGCAGTTTGTTTTTTTGTTATTTGGCCTGGGCCGTATTTGAACCCGCCACCTCTGGTATATGTGGCCAGTGCCCTACTTCTTAAGCCACAGGCGTCACCCTCAGGTTCACCGAAATTTTCCAAACTAGCCAATCCCAAGCCTGCTTACCTGGACTCACCTGTCTCATCTTAAGAATGCCAGAATAAGAGCCCATGCTCATGTTTCCCCTTTACTCCTTGGGCCTCTGACCAGCTCTCATGCTTCCCTACGTGGCCCCTGTGATCAGGCATACTCTCTCCTCTGTATAACTTACAAACTATCTTTACAATGGCAATCATCGCTTGATCTGAGGCCTCACTTCACCTGAAAAATAATAATAAAACTTACACTTTAAAACTTTAGAGCACTGCTATATAGAAATAGGAACTGACTTTTCTGTGTTTATCTTCTGCTCTGCACGTTTATCAAATCTGTTTGATAGCTCTATGTGTGTGTGTATGTGTGGATTGTTTGAAATTTTTCTGTAAGTAGAATAATGTCATTTTCAAATATAAATAGTTTTACTTTGTTTCACACTCAAGTGTTCTTATAGCTAATTTCTCTGGCTAGGACCTGCAGTACAGGGTTAAATAGAGGTAGTGAAAGCAGACATCCTTTCTTGCTCTTGACCTTAGTAGGAAAACTTTCAGTCTTCCACCATTGAGTATGATGCTAACTGTGGGATTTTTATAAATGTACTTTATCTTATTGAGAAAATATTCTTTACCCATTCTGATAAATATTTTTACCACAAAAGTGTGTTGCATTTTATCAAATGCTTGTTTATACCTCTTGAAATGATTATGTGGTAGAATTACATAATTGATTTTTAAAGTATTGAACCATTCTTGTATCCCTAGGATAAATTCCACATGGTCATGAAGTGTAATCTTTTTAATGTGCTGTTGGGCCCAGTTTGCTAATATTTTGATGAGGATTTCTGCTTCTATGTTCATAAGGGATATTTGGCTACAGTTTTCTTGTAGTAGCCTTATCTGACTTTGGTATTAGGACAATATATCAAGAAATGTTTCCTTCTCTTCTATATTTTAGATGAATTTAAGTAAGATTAATGTTAATTCTTTTTGAAATGTGGGGTAGTTCCTTGACTGCAGTAGCAGATCTGTTGCTGACACTTGTCCCCTTTGGGATAGAAGCTGGCTTGCCTGTCATGTTGGCTCAGACTGGAACCATCTTCCAACAGGTCCTTGCACTGATGAGGTAATTCTCCAATTGCATGAAAAAGGGGTGGTGCTGAGACTGGGACCCCCCTGAAATCTGCTGTCAGACTGAGGATGGAGAGCCCTGTCTTGGTTCAGCGGGGTGCATATCACCAAGGACATTCCTGCGCAAATAAGATAGTCCTTGAGGGAAGGTCCAGAGCTGAGACTGGGCACCTCTACTGTGGGATAAAGGCTAAAGAACACTACCTGATAGACTCAGAGGGTCATTTTCCCTACAGGTCCCTGCGAAGACATAATTCCCTAACTCTAGCAGGAAAGGTTCTAGCTGAGACTGGGCCCCCTCAGAATCTGCTGTGGGGTGGGGGCTGGAAAGTCTAACTCATTGGCTCAAACAGGTATGCATCTCCCAGAAAATTTCAGTAAAAATTGGATAGGTTCCCAAATGCAGTGGGAGGGGCTGGAGCTGAGAGTCAGTCCTGTTGGGATCTGCCATGGGAGGGGATCCTGTGGTAAGCCCATCAGGGAGGCTTAGATTCCACATATGGTAAGGTATGGGCAAGCCTTCACCCGGTTCCTTATGTGAGCAGCTCCAAGCTGGGACCTCAATTGAGAGCAGTACCTGAGGGTAACTTTCAAGTAATGAGACTGATGCCAGGGAGAAGACAACACTTCCGGCCATGGTACTAGTGTGCATAATTCCTTCTGGACCCATTGGGGAACTGAGCTGTTTCTGGGCTTGAACCTCAAAGCAAGATCTGCATGGTAGATCAGCCAATTGAGGGCCTATCTGTAGTCTCAGAATTAGCCTTCTAGGTCTTGGGTTCCACCAGCCTTTCCCAAAATCTTATGTGAATCCTAAGGCTCCCACATAGAGACTTTTGACCTTACATAGTTGCAGAATTTTTGTTGTTATTGGGGGGGGG